TGTAAACCCCCGCGTTTGCCGAAATGAAATGGGCAAACGCTTCAGGTTAGCAACATATGCTGCAGGAACAGCTCTTGCTCATCCAATCATAGGTACTTCCGATTAGCTAAAACTAAGTTGAATTAATCTAAAACTTCGTCACCCACTGGTTAAAAGCGGGTATTTATACCCAGATTAGCCAAAATATGTGAAAAGCACAATAATAAAGGTGACATTAAAAAAACCTTCAGTTTGAATAACATTGGGTGATATATCCACTTGTATAGGTTATAATGATATAGATTATGCTCCATGCTACTGAGCATCGTGCGTAACGCCTTATCACACGAGGCTGGGTAATTTATTTAACGTAACAATGAGTTAATGCATTACACTAGCTAGGTGCACATGGGATATCAGAGACCGGCTATAAATGCTCCTAGTACTGATTTCCCTCGCAGGTTAGAACGGCCAAGTTTGAACAATTTACACAGTATATTAAGTTTTGCGGTTATAATTGTGTTGGAACACTAACTTGGCATGACTATACTCGATGTTGGTTGACTGATCGAGACGAATGGTTGACCAATTTCGTGTGAAAAGTACTCTCAAGTCATGCTACAATACGTGGGCAGAATAAATTGATGTTTCTTTACTGTTAGTACGGTGCTGTTTCTGGCTTGTTGTGCCGAAAAATTAGGCGTTAAAAATTTGCTTGAGGATTCGTCAATGTGGCTGACTTGAAAACGTTAACGTTACGATGCTAACGTACACACATCCCACTGTGCAACTCATATTGCCAACTTTGAAAGGCCTACATTCCTCAACACAAGCTTACATGGTATCAGCCTTCTGCAAGATGACTCTATATTGAGCTTACCAAGTACCGATTGATACCTGCCGCTCATGCTTTTATTCACTACAACGATCCAGCCACGAAGGGCAAGTCTAAGGCGTGGACTTCTTGGGGAATTTGGGGTGTTTAGCATTGGTTGCGCAAGAATCCCTCCACGGCCAGCTCCACACGTTGGTGGGCCCACACTAGCGCGCCGCTGTCGGTGGCCTTAGCAGCCGACATGTCGCGGCAGTGCGACGTGCCGTCGATGAACACGAGCTCTGACTTGGGGTTGATCACGCCCGTAGCGTTGGTGACACTCAGCGCCGACCACGGATCGATGTTGCCGTTGGGGAAGATGACGTTTTCTACGTCGATTTGGAGGGCGCCGTACTTTTTGTTGGTGGCGGCGATGGCGGCATCGATTTGGGCTTTGGGGATGCCGTAAGCTTGACTGCACATCTCGTAGAGCACCTTGTCGATATCGTTGTACGATAGCGCAGAAAAGATCGACTTGGCGGACGCCGTGGTCTGGCCGTAGCCGAATTCGGCGCACGTTTGGTAGATCCACTGCCGGCCAATTTTGGTCGTGCTGAGCGTAGTATTGCTCAGGGGTGTGACCCACGAGTCCTTGAAGTCCGAATCCGTACATGTGGACGTGTACCGGGCGTTGTGCTCGGCGAGCTTTTCCAGGGGCGTCTTGTTGGGCTGGGCAAACAGAGTGCACGTGGAGTTCAGGTTGAACGCCGTGTTGTCATTGGATTGGGCTGTGCCTTGGAAGTTGCCAAACACCCACGACTCCACCGTCATGCGGTCAAAGTCGTTTTTGATGGGGGAGCATAGCTTGAAGAGCGCCTGCAGTTGAGCCACGTCTTCGGGCTTGGAGCTGCCCAAGAGGGTGTGGAGCCCTTCCAAACCCACCTTGACGGTGTTGACACACGCGTCCCCACCATAGTAATTCAAACCGAACGCAACTGTGTCGGCGTATTCGTGGTAGTCGCCTTTGGCCAAGATGGGACCAGAGCTAGCCACGGAACCAGCGAACCGGCTGCCGTGCTTGAGCTTAGCCCACGCCGCCAACATGCCTGGGTAGCTGCCCCCGAACGCGACCCACTTGCTATCCTTGGTCAAGTTGCGCTTGACAGTCAAGTGGTCTTGAAAGTTGACCAAGTCGTTCAGTGCTTGCTCGGCGCTCAGGTACTTGAGGCTCGCCGTGGTGAAGTCGGAAAGGGGCTGCGACTTGCCGTAGTATCGATGCTCCAAGCTCACAATCAACGCCTTGTGCTTCTTGGCGAGGACGTTCATGAAGAGGCCCGTCGACACGACGGTCGTATTACGCGCAACGTTTTCCCCATTGATGTACACAAACACGGGGGATCCAGGGCCACCGTAGAACTCGTCGTTGGTGAAGAAGCGCTGGCTCCACACTTTCGTGTTGGACGCGTCGTTGTGGTCGAGTTTTTGCGTGCTAAAGTACTCTTCATTGATGACCGCTCGGGGGTTTTCGACGCCATGCTCATGCTCAACCAAGTCCATCACATCAAAGTTCGTGCGCAGGAAGGGGTGGAGGGCGGCGGCGGCTCCCAAAAGACCAGCGAGGACAGATATACGGACCATATTTGGAAGGGGTGAAGAATTTCAAATGAACTTGCCTCAAGCGAAAGGTGCTGGATGTGTCACATTCCAAGCAGCTGCTGGGGCACCAAGGGGTGGCACTTATGGTGACCGACGAGGCGAAATGCTTTCAAGACATGCAAGTAACGAATTCACTCTGGGATGGTCCAAGACAAGGCACAGGTTCCAATGATTAAAGATAGTAAGTATTGAACAATGGGGTAGGACATACCTACAAGTGCAGTGGACTTCGAGTCACTACTCTGCATTAACGTAACGATAGTAGGATACCGTACATTGATGGATTGATTGCTTTCATTACCAAACCTGATCCCACTACACTTTTGCATGTTCCCTATTTCTAGTTAGCTTCCTCCGGAGAACATATGACATCCCTGGCTCATACACAATACTCCGGAGTATGTGTACTTGAGAGAGCAAATCTGTCATGCGTGTGTTCTGCCTACAAAAAAGATGGTCAAGTTTAAACAGTTAACCCTATTCTCAAATGCTAACGGCTGGAGTAAAGTAAGTGGTATTAGTACTGGTACCTATAATGGCATATCCTGATCATACTACACTGGTATCACTTGAAAATCTTTCGTTCAAAATGTCGAGCCATAAGTACGCAACTGTGCCCCCCTTCTTGCGTTTAACTTCAACTTTTGAGCAGCAAGGAAATCACCGACGATGATGATGTGCACATGCCCTCGGCTCAAACTTCCGCCCGTCATCGACGAGGGACCCAGGTGCTGTCGATTGGGGCACTGACTTTTCGACGTCATAGTGAAGGGCGTCGACTTTGGTTGATGGCGGTGCCAATTTGGGCTTCGATGTCGTCATTGCATCCGTCGTGTCGTTCGTAGCGCGATCTACGACGCACAAGCCATGGCGGACAAGAATCGATCTAACTGAAAATACCATCGAGGGACGTTAGTACAGTACGATCGCAATGTATGTATACGTATAGGTAAGCTAACTGTTAGTTTGAAAGAGCTCTGAGCGTCATCCAGGTCAGACCAACCAAGTGTGGCAGATTACCTTCTTACTACTATTAATAGTGCCGTAGTAATAACGTTACAATTCTTCGTCCAGAACCCCAAATAACTAACCTTTGATTTCTCGTCCGAATTCATCGACTTGGAGTGTAAAATAAAAACAGCACAATAATTCATACTTCGAAGTACAATGGATATATTTAAAAAACAATTAATATCCACCACGTTAGTTTATTCTGACCGATCGCTGTTGGCTAGATATTTGATCTGGGTTTAGATATAATTACAAGCCAGCAAGTTGGATGTGATTTCAACTTCACATGTCAAACGGATGTCGGTGAATAAAAGTGAACGCCACACGAAGACCAGGTAATTAAAGCGATTACAGTACTAGTACGCGCTTCGACAACACCATATGTGGGGGAGTGCTAGAACTGTATGTATGGTCATCGTGAAGCCATCACCTTCGTGTGCCTCACTTTCCAAGTTACCGTTCGACAAATCATGGTCCGCAACTTCGCCCTCGCCGCCTTGGCCGTTGTCATCGCCGCGCGTATCAACAAACACATGGATGTCGTGGAACTCATTGAACACCGCGCGGCTGTCGAAGACGTCCAAGCTGGTGTACCCGAAGAGTACTTTAGCACGCAAAAGCTCGACCACACTGACGCATCCAACTCCAACGTGTGGAGCCAGCGCTTCTTCACCAACGACGAGTTCTACGGCGGGCCTGGCTCCCCCGTGTTTGTGTACATCAGCGGCGAGTGGATTGCTCGCAATACGACCGTAACGTCCAAGGGGCTGCACATGAACGTCCTCGCCAAGAAGCACAAGGCGCTGATCGTACTCCTGGAGCATCGTTTCTACGGCAAGTCGCAGCCGCTGCCTGATTTCAAGGTGTCGTCTCTGCAGTACTTGACCGCCGAGCAAGCGCTGAAGGACTTGGTCAACTTTCAAGACCACTTGGCCGCCAAGCGCAACTTGACCAAAGACAGCAAGTGGATCGCGTTCGGGGGTAGCTACCCAGGCATGTTGGCGGCGTGGGCTAAGCTCCAGCACGGCAGTCGGTTTGCTGGTTCCGTGGCCAGTTCCGGCCCCATCGACACCCAAACCAACTTTTACCAGTACGCCGACAAGGTCGAGTTTGGGCTCAACTTCGTCGGGGGCAAGGAATGTGTTGACGCTGTGAGCGACTCCCTCAAGGCGTTCCACAATGTCATTGCCAGCACCAAGCCCGAAGACGTCGCGCAGCTGAACGCGCTCTTCAAGCCGTGCACACCCCTGGCGAACGACTGGGACCGCGCCGTCTTGGAAGCTTACGTATTCTATTCGTTCGAAGGGTTGTCGCAAGCCAACGACTACGCCGCGTACGGTCTCAAACAGGCCTGCGCAGACTTCACCAAGGTGGGCAAAACCCCGTTGCAAAAGGTGGCCGACTACTTCTACCTCCAAATCGGAGACGCCACGTGTTACAATTACGACTACCAAGACAACTTTCTCGACGCGTCCGTGACAAGCACGGAGGTCACGACCACGGGCACCAACCGACAATGGACGTACCAAACGTGCTCGGAGTTTGGCTTTGGCCAAAACTCGGCCTCAGCCAAGGGCATCTTTTCCGTACTGTCGTATCTGGACGTGAACAAGGCGTTCTCGGAAGTGTGCCGTCAAGCTTTCAACATCTCGGCCGCGCAAACCGACGCCGCCGTCGTTACCAACCGCCAAAAGTACGGCGCCCTCAAGATCAACGTTGAGAACGTCGTGTTCCCTACCGGCAATCTCGACGGCTGGGCCGCACTCGCTCCCAGCAACGCCACCGGAGTCGTCAATCCCAAGTCGGAAGTGATCGACGTCGTCGGATTATCGCATTGTGGTGACATGGGTGCCCCTGACGCGTCCGACAGCGTGCACTTGGCATGGGCCCACGTCAAGGTGGAAGCTGCTGTGGACCGCTTCTTGCGCGACCAATGTTAAATGCTCTTGTCATTTTTATCAAATAATGCAAGCAACCATCATTGATCTGTGTTTGCTGGGCAATAACGTTTCAAATCAATTTACACTGTTAACGATTTTACATGTGCTCAGCAACAGACAGCAAATTAGTGTGGGCTTATGCCAAGATCGTAGCTCCCATCAGGCGATTCATGCGTGACCGTTATATTATGAATGGCAAGACATAATCACATTGCCATTCAATAGTTTTGGCTACAACGCGTCCAATCGAGTGGCTACCACACGAAGCTATGAAGTAAGTTGTTGATATTACTTTCTAGTGCGGTTAGCAGCCTTGTCCTGTTGCTTGGCGAGCCACTGCTGCAAGTGTTCCTTCTGGACAACAAGGCATCCGTGGTTCTGAGCTGGGGTATGCGATCGCAGGGCAAAATGCGACCACAGCAGGGCTTCAATTTCCGGTTTCAGCACGGGCTTCATAAACTCCTTGCTGCCTCGGCCTTTGCCCGTGATGATCTTGAGCTCTTGCACCTCTACGCTCAACCTCGTCATAACCACTAATCCGCCAATCTCATGATCGTACCCATGGTTTCACGATAACTCTTGGGCTGGGTCGCTATCGCCGTAAGTGCAAACTGCACGGCCGTCTTGGCCGAGCCCTTGGAAAACGTGTGCAAATTCAATCCAAACAGCCCTTTGCGCCACTCGCCCAGGAGCTGCTGGTCCATCGCGCGTCGGAACACGGCTTCCCCCGTCTCAGTCTGGCCCACTTCGTCCAGGGCGTCAATTAGTGTGTGCACAAAATCAGGTTTCCCGAGGGGTACGTCGTGGCACTTAGCGAGCACAGCCGAGAGCAGATACTTTTTCGTCGGCAGGCGGTGGATGGCGCGCAGGACGCACGCCAGCGTCAAGATGGACGGTGAGATGCCACGTCGGTTCATGTCTTCGTACAACGACGTAACTTGGTTCGGGCCATTGCCAATGTCCGAGCCAGGGCGAAGGTACCCCAACATGCAAGTGGTAAAGCAAAACGCATCCGGTGTCAAGTGGGGAAGCGTCAAGAGATGCCGAAGGAGCCGGCGGCTTTCGTCCAAGTTGTGGGCTAGCATGTGCGCTCGGATCATGGCGTTGTACAGGTTCATATCTGCGGTCGTGTCCATGTAATCAGGTGCTTCTGTCGTTCGAATCTACGCGGAGGATCTCGTCGTGAGAACCAACTAAACCAACTAAAGAACATTCGTAGTAGTGATTGAATACCTTGTTCAGCACCTCGTGGACCACACCGTGTTCGCCGCAAGCGCTGAGCGTCTTGATCATGATCGTATACGTTTGGACATCTAACACCAAAGTCGAAGACGACAGCACTTGACGGGCTACGTCTACAAGCATCTTGGGCTGACGTCCCGAACTCAACGTGAGCAAGAGCAGGCGATACCCCCGCAATGGAATGGGCACGGAGAACTCCTGCATCTGCTTGAGCAGTGTCAACGTGTGTTTCCAGTCGTTCTTGTGCTTGAAGGCCTTGAGAAGTGGTCGATACAGCGACGCGGACAGCGTTCGTCGAACATTGTCGTCCAACGTCGGGATGCCAGCTACCAATGCATGTGCTTTGACCAGCGCTTCGTCGCCTTTGCCGTTTTCGGCCAGTGCCTGGCACATCAACGCCTGAGATTCCACGGACAGCGCTGGCTGGGTGGACGAGGATGGAGAGGCCGAGTTGTCGGACGAGGAGGGATCGTTCATGTGACCGAGGCCTTGCAGAATGTGCAGCACTTTTTTCGCTTCACGGTGGCGTCCTTGGGCTGCACACACCCTCAAAACAAAGTTGGCATGCTTAGGCTCTACCCATGTCGGGTGATTCGTCGCGAAGTGCTGAAACGTTCCCAGCGCGTGCTTCCAATCGGCTGCTTGCTCGGCGCGGTGAAGTTTGGACTCGATGATCGAAAGCGCTGCTGTGTTGTTCGCTACCGCTGTGCTCTCGAAGCGGCTTTGCATACTCCACAGACTGGGTGAAGCATGGCTCTGGTCACAGGGTGAAGCCACGCATTTCATCGTCACAGGACGTACCGGACGTGTCGCCGACAAAATGGCGCGACGCAGCATGAGAAAATGCTGCTCAAATCGCACACCATTATTGTCGGACCAATCGAAGTCGATAATTTACACCCCTGGGAACCGATATCGGATTTCAAAGGCAATACACCTCAATTGCGATAGTCCACACCAGTTACTCGACGACAACCGATCGATGCTGCGTCAACTTGCGCGCAGTAGTGCCGCCGGTCGACGGCATGCGCTTCGTGCCATCCAGAAGCCGCATGAAGCACATATCATGTGGCATCATCGTGCAGCATTGCAGCCTCTATCCCTGCGGCTGCTACATGCCACGGCGCCCATGCTTCGCACCGACGCGATCGAGCTCGTGTATCAAAAGAAGTCGCCGCTTGAACACGTCCTGCTCCGACCTGGCATGTACATTGGGTCTGTGGAATCGACGAAAGATACCATGTGGGTGTGGAACAACCAGGAAAAGCGCATGACCCAACGAGCCAACCTCGAGTACACGCCCGCGCTATACAAGATCTTCGACGAGATCCTCGTCAACGCCGTGGACAACAAGGTCCGCGACGACACCATGTCCCGACTTGACGTGACCATCCACCCTGGCTCGTCGTCCTCTTCCGACCCGCCCCGCATTTCCATCTTCAACGACGGCAAAGGCATTCCCGTCCAATTCCACAAACACGAACAGGTTGATTATTTCTCTTCCACCAAATGTCCATGTTTGTTCTCACGCGAGATACCACGACTAGGTATACGTGCCCGAGCTAGTGTTGGGCCACCTTCTCACGGGCTCCAACTTTGACGACGCCACCGCGCGGCTAACTGGTGGACGGCACGGCTACGGCGCCAAGCTGACCAACATTTTTAGTACCGAGTTCACAGTCGACACTGGGGACGCCCACACGGGGCTCCAATACACGCAAACGTGGCGGCACAACATGCGAGAGCGCGGGGACCCCGTCGTCGTGCCGTACACCGGGCCCAACTACACGCGCATCACATTCGTGCCCGACCTCAAGCGATTCCATGTGGACTCACTCACTCTCGACATGCAGCAAGTTCTAGAGAAACGCGTGGTGGACGTCGCGGGGTGCCTCACAAATGTGTCCGTGTCGCTGAATGGCGAGGTCGTGCCGCTGTCGGGGTTTCAACAGTACGTGCAATCGTACTGCCCATCTATCGCCACCGACGACGACGAAGAGGCGGCGGTGCTGTACACCAAAGTCAACCGGCGGTGGGAAGTAGCGGTGATGCCATCCGACGGCGGGTACTCGCAAGTGAGTTTTGTGAACGGGATGACCACGATTCGAGGGGGGACCCATGTCCAGATCGTGTTGGACCAGCTGTGTCGGCGGGTGGCAGACACCGTCGCTGCGCGGCACCGCGACCTCCCGCCCCTCCAGTCGTCTCAGATCAAGCCCCACCTCCGTCTCTTTGTCAAGGCGTTAGTGGAGAACCCAACGTTCGACTCGCAAATGAAAGAATGTCTCACGTCCAAACCCGAATTCTTTGGGTCCAGCTGCATACTCACGGAGCGGTACGTAAAGCAAGTGCTGGCCTGCGGCATCGTCGAGCGCGTGGTCGGCGCCCTCAAGACCAAGCAACGCACGGCACTTCTCAAGAAAGTTGCCAAGAAATCTAACACGGTGCAAGTGCCCAAGCTTGAGGACGCCAACTGGGCAGGCACGTCCAAAGCACACAAGTGCACGTTGATTTTGACTGAAGGCGATTCAGCCAAAGCGCTCGCGGTCGCTGGCTTGAGCGTTGTGGGAAGGGATGCATATGGCGTGTTCCCGTTGCGGGGAAAATTCCTCAACGTCCGCGACGCCACCGACACGCAACTGACAAAAAACGCTGAATTTAGCCATCTCTGTACGATCTTGGGGCTCAAACTCGGGCTCAAGTACGACACTTCTGCCGAACGCGCGACGTTGAGGTGGGAGTAGAATAGGTTACACGTTGCACTACTAGTGGGAATATTCCCTCGATTGTCAAGACCGTTGGTCACCGTGGACGATTGGATTATATATTGTCCATTGACTCCAAACTTGGACTTTTGTGTGAATCGCTAAAAATTCATCGATCGATTCTTTCTTTGCCTTGCATAGGTGACAAAGTGTGCTAGTGGGGATTGAATTCACACTAATTTCAGTCATACACTAATTCGATGTTAAGGATCGTGGTTCCTGCAATCGGATTGGCTCAATTCTTCTGCCGATGATATTCTTGTGTACATACTTTATTTGGTTGAGTGGTCGATTCATTACATCTCCAGTTGTCCTCTCCAGTTTAGAGAATAAACACCCCAATCAATATAATGTGTAGATACGGCCAGGTGATGCTCATGACGGACCAAGACCACGACGGCAGCCACATCAAGGGTCTGCTCTTGAACTTGTTTCATTCATTTTGGCCGGCGCTGTTGGAAGCCAACTACGTCAGTGCCTTCCTCACCCCTTTGCTCAAAGTCCATCCCTCCGTGGCTTCCAAAAAGCCAGCATTGCCCTTCTTCAGCATGCCCGAGTACGACCAGTGGAAAGCCGACCATCCGTCTGTGAAACACTCGGTCAAGTACTACAAAGGGCTAGGTACGAGCACGTCCAAAGAAGGCCAAGAGTACTTTGACGCGTTAAACGATCACCGGGTCGAGTACACGTCGACAAGTCCGGCGGATGGCGACGCCCTTGCGATGGTGTTTAGCAAGGACCGTGTCGCAGACCGCAAGCAATGGCTGCGGCAGTCCAACCCGCTTGACTTTGTGTTTGAACGGGTGGCCAGCATGTCCCTTGGGCAGTTTGTGCATGCCGAATTGATCCAGTACTCCCACGCTGACAACATCCGGTCGATTCCGAACGTGATTGACGGACTCAAGCCGTCCCAGCGCAAGGTATTGTTTGCATGCTTTCGACGGCACTTGGTCAAGGAAATGAAAGTCGCCCAACTGGCCGGGTACTGCGCCGAACACACGGCGTACCATCACGGCGAGGCGTCGCTATTGAGCACGATTGTCAACATGGCGCAGGACTTCGTCGGCTCCAACAACGTGCCACTGCTGGTTCCGTCTGGTCAGTTTGGCACGCGGCTCCAGGGCGGGAAGGACGCGGCGAGTGCCCGGTATATCTTTACGCACCTCCAGCCGTACACGAGGCTGATCTTTCCGGCGGCGGACGAAACGCTCTTGGAGTACGTGCACGACGACGGCGTACCCGTAGAGCCCGTGTATTTCGTACCGATTCTGCCCATGTTGTTGGTGAACGGCGCCGACGGCATCGGCACGGGGTGGTCTACTAGTGTGCCGAGCCACCACCCGATCCAAGTGATCGACTGGTTGCTGGCTCGATTGATGCAACCAAGTGACAAGTGGAGAGGCGGCAACGAGCTCGAGCCGTGGGTCAAGGGGTTCCAAGGCCGAGTGACTTCGAAACCCAACGGATTTGGCACCGAAGGAGTCGTTCGGGTTGTGCACGACAAGAAGAAGAGCTGGACGCTGGCCATCTCAGAACTCCCCGTGGGCAAATGGATCGACGACTACAAGACGTTTCTGTGGAGTCTAGTTGCCGCCAAGAAAGTTCAAACGTTCACTGAACACCACACCGACCGCACCGTGCATTTTGAAGTCGTCGTGCCGGTGCGTATATATATATATATATATCGGCGACAGGGTTCAAAGTCGTGAATGTGTACATACATGTATGTGGAGGTGGCTCACACAGCGGGGGGGGGTTGTGTTGCTGTTTTATCGTAGAAGGACGACAGCGACGACGACTTGGCGGCCGGAATCGACTGGACGAAGTGGTTCAAGCTTGAATCCAACCTCAATACGACCAATATGCACGCGTTCGATAGCACCAACACGCTGCAAAAGTACCAGTCTAGCGCAGACATCCTCGACGCGTTCTACCCCGTGCGACTGGCGCTATACCACCGACGAAAGGAATACCTAGTGGACGAATCGACAAGAGACCTCCGGCGATTGACGAATCGGGCGAGGTTTGTGCAGGCCATGGCATCCCACGACAGTCCGTTGCGGGTGCTGTGGAGCTCGCGCCCGTCCAAAGCTCAAGTGGTATGGATCTATCTATATATATATATATATATATATATATATATATATTATTCATCGAAAGCTGAAAATCCGATTGAGATATATATCTTATCGAACCATCCATGGCTGATACAAGGGTACTGTAGGTGGCGTTGTTGCAGGAGGAGGGCTTTGATTCGAGCCAATCGTTTGCAAAGAACCATCACGACGACCATGATGATGATGCAGATGGAGATGGAGATGGCATTCACGGGTATAATTATTTGCTCAAGACGTCGTTCCTGCAGTTCACCGACGAAAATACCACCAAGTTGTTGGCAGAAGTCGAGGCCAAACGACAGGAACTAAGTCGACTCGAAGCGACGTCCGCCGTCGAAATGTGGCGGGGGGAGCTGGAAGCGCTCAAGGCGGCCTTGCTCTCGGCGGATCCGCAGTATCATTCAAAGTAATACAGTAAAATACTACTGTATACTCTGGAGTATAGTTAGTACTCTTTGTTCTACCAGATCGCGATCAATTGTTGTGAGGGACTTGACTGGCGTTGTTTCTGGCTGGCTGTGCATGTCCTATGTCAATGCCTTCGATATTTTGTACCTGGGGGTGTACTACCAGTATATATTCGATTAGACTGGGAGGATTTTTCGTTGCTATATTGAATACCAAATCCGACGCACCTGTACGTATGTATGTGTATACATACACCTAGGTCCACTGGACCAAAAACAGTACAGTATCTCCATAACAATACAGTACAGTATCTCCATAACGTTACAGTATCTCCACAACGTTACAGTACAGTACAGTATCTCATGGCGATATGAGGCCATTTGGTTTGAAACTGTCACCGATTGTCTGGATACTTTGGCTGGACACCTTGCTGCATAAAACATTGTGTGGCTGCGATTTGAGGTGACGTGACTGGACAGTCGGCAGACAGGCTCGTCACTCAAAGTACAAGTGTACTAGTGTTTATTAGGGGATCAATCGAATGGGGGGTCGTGTGCGTATTGGCTGGATTCGGGCGACGAGATACCTTGTGTTTGATTGCGAAGAGCATCCTGACTCTGCTTTTCGCAACAGTTGCTGAGGATGCCATAAATCACTTTCCACGTGCGCAATTGGGGCTTTGATATGTAGATTTTATACCAGTTGTGGCGACTCCATGTGCGTGCCGTTGGGGCCTGTAGCGTGGCAGCTACTTTGGGCTGGCTACAGATTTCTGGCCCAAATGAAGGCACGCGTTTTGGCTAAGTGCTGAGCTGGCAAGCCCGCCGATTCTCTCTCTCTCTCATACCATCTTGTGTGTGTCTTCGTGGATAATCTCCTTGCCGATAACGTTAGCGTGATGAATTGCGAGCTCGGCTCGTCGGGACAAGTGCAACTTGTCGTGCATTGTAGAGCCACACGCGCCAGTCTGACATTGCAGCGAGTTTTGTAAGCTCGATAACGAGCCACTGAAGTATGTTCAAATCTAAAACTACGAAATCACAGTCTATTTTAACTTACAGTATGCGTACATTTCATTCTCTTAGTTAATTATGCATATATATTCTGTTTTTACTACATCGAGATATAACAAATCCACCCAGGTTGGGGCGGCGTTCCGGAGACGAAGCGACAGTGAAACGACCAGCTGAAAATAGGATACATGTTTTTCCATATATTCTTCATGGCCAACAAGTTCAAGCAGCACCTGCACGCGTCGACGTCTATGGTGGTCGACAAAACTTCGTACTTGTACCTGCGCAAGAAGACGCAGCACGAACCGCCCCACTTCATGGCGTTCCATGCTGCCGACCCCGGGGATGCCGAGTACTCAGAGTACATGGCAGCGTGGCTACAGACCAACGCCACCATCCGCAGCCTGGACAACGTCGTGCTGTATGCGGTGGAGGTCAACCTAGGAAAAATGCGATGGTCCATCCGTCGGCGGTACTCTGAGTTCCGCGAGTTACGGCAGTGCATGATCAAACACATGTCGAAGCGAAGCAGCTGCTGCATGATCTGTGGCGCGATGCTGCAGGGGTTGGAGGCGCTGCCGTTTCCACCAAAGCGACCGTCGCTGTTCTACAAGGCGGGGGTGGATTTGGACTCGCGCCAAGCCAAGCTCCAAGAGTTCGTCATCCTGCTCGTGGGGGTGATTCAAATGCTAAGGCAACACCAAATGCTCATGCAATCCAGCGCGGGATTCGTCAAGCGCAACAAGACGCAGTGCGACGTGTCCGACCTGCTCCGGGCCGTCGAGGCATTCTTTGCGCTAGACTTCAGTCGATACACGCGGTTTCTGGCCGAGCGAGGGGTGCTGCAGCCCAACGAAGTGTTGCTGGCATGAGCGACACTCTGTTCGATAGCCCCAACACAGAGTAGTACTTAACGAACCATAGTATTTACAGTTAGTCACGACATTCTTACCCCCGTTACTACAGTAGTTAAGCCATCGTGTCAAACCTGTGCGCACACGGAAGTGACCCACATAAGTTAGCTTTCATACGTTATCTGGTCGTATTGCTCAAGATACAGGTTGCACTTCACTTTGCACAAATACCATGTTAAATACTAACTTACAGTTAACGTAAAAAACCAATTTAACTGTAAGATAACTTTTTTGGAGGCATCGGAGTACAGTAGTGATTCCAATAGACAAGTCGCACCGCTTTCAGTTCATAATCAAATTATCCGTTTAGACGATGAACTTCACAGATAAATTTGTTACTTTCTAAGCATTTGTACTCACAAATTGATAACCAATTTAGTAGGATAACTTTTTATCTTAAAATATGTATGTGTCGGAGCATTGAAATTCTGATTATGGTATTTTAAGTATGTATGCTTCGGAGCATTGAAATTCTGTAGTTAGGGTAAGCGGTTACAACAGGTTTCATATAATTTATACAAGGGTATTGTTTTATAAAGTTATATTTTTGTTGTGGAAGGATATCAACTGAGTTTAACACTCGACAAAACCTCAGATCCAACCCAATGTGGCCCGTGTCGACTAGGGTACTTCAAACCCAATCTTGATTAACTGTTACCAATCGCTTCTACGTCGTTTTTGCATTTCATTCATGTGACGGAATGGTCAGTCAGCATTATATGACAGAGGTTTCGACTCGAACAAATAACGATTTGTGATTGGGCAATACAAAAATATCCTAATTGGTAAAGTTATCTTAAACTGGTTTTTTACGAAGTACTAGTATTAATACTTCGTAGTAACGTTATATCGTTTTCACACACAAGGCTCCTTGGCAGACTGCATACGGAAACATCACAACAGGAACGCTGCATCATTTGCTCGTTATTACAAACTATCCCAACTCACGGAGGCCAAGTTGAGTTGTTGTCTATCCCGAATTCACGCCCGGGTTGAGCAATGCAGTGCCCTCTGCTACAAACTTGGCGTCCCGTTCAAACATGGACCGCAGCATGTCGACGTCGTCCAATTCTCCGCGGTAATGCTGGTAAAACAGCATCTCAAACGCGTCTACGTGGGGCACGAGCATGTACGGAACGTACGCGATGTCTAGCTTCTTGTACGGGTTATCCTTGTTCCAGTCGGCGGGTAGCTGCGCGACTTGGACCTTGATGAGCTTTGCGTTTGGAGCTGCGTACTTGTGGAAAGCAAACTCCACGACGGCTTCGCGGTGTCGACAGTAGACACACCACACGCGGTTGTTGTGGGGCCACGACCCTGACATGAACAGCAAGTACGTCGGCACTAAGTCTTCAAACAGCCTCGCCATGCGCCGATACGCGGCGTAATCGCTGATGGTTTCCACTGAGTTTTTTCTAGTACTAGTAACAGACGTGCCTTCGGTGAGGGCATACTCGATCAAGTCGGCGTTGGCCACGGACTGTCCTTCCAACACAAAGCTCGTGTTGGCGTACCCTTGGTTGTTGCGCTCATATCGCATGAACGTTGGCACGTCATGTAGCAATATGTCAAAATCGCTGCGGAAGGGCGAGTTGTCCGCTTCGGCTTGCGAAGATCCGACTCGAACGATGGCCAGCCGATGGCGAGGGGAGAGCGAGTGGTAGGCGGTGAGGGCGGCGGCTTCGGCGTCCGCGCAGGTAGAGGACCAATGTTCGTGGGTGTCTGGGGATTTCGCACATGTAAACAAAAGGAACATGGGGCGATCCAGTGATTTTAAGAACGATTGGGTCGCGTCGAACGAGGTTAGCGTGATAACACCTAGTGGGGGATGGGCGTCGGATGGTGCAGTGGTCGTCGTGGTTGTCGTAGACGCTTTGGAAGTGGTCGGGACAACAGTAGAAGTGGTGGTGGGTTTGGCGGTGGTCGGAGATCGTGTGGTTACTGTCGTCTGCGGTGGTTTTCTCGTCGTGGTCAACGATGTGGTAGTGTCGTGATTGATGGTGGGTACATGCACGTTAGATCGAGTGGCCGTGGTGGCGGAGATGTGGTTGATGGTCGATACTTGTCCAGTGGTGGATCGTTGGGCTTTCGACGGCGGAGACTCCTCTGCTAGCACGGCCAAGGTGCTCGGAGCGACGTCGTCTTGTACCGCACGGACACGGCGGTCGCCGGTCAAGGATGGCGCGTCGTGGCCCCATTCCATTTGAGATATGCACCACACGTAGAAGACAATCACAGACAACACACACATAGATAGCAACATGGTCAGGTTGATTCGGAGCCCAAAGCATGTCGGGCTGCGGCGGCCACGTTGCCGCATTGGAATTTGCTGCGTGACACTGACACTGTTGGTAATTCAGCGTTTTTATTCAAATGATTGGAGATTATACGAAATTTAACTGGAAATATTTGAGTATATTATAACTGTTATTTAGGTACTTTCAGCATATATTTCGCCTTGGTAAAACGCTTTGAGCAGTGCCGTTTCCTCATAAATGGCCGTGTACTCCTGAAACTCGAGCGCCGCCGAGCTGTCCTGCCTGAAGCTTTCTGGTTTGGCTCGGATCAGCATGGGAAGTCCCGAGATTGTAATGATTGTTTGCATGTTGAACGGGTTGTCGTCACGATGCCAATCCTCCAGCGACGAGGCAGTGACCACGCGTAGAAGGACTGCATCGTCCGACGCAAACTGTTCAAAGTAGGTCATCACGGGCAGTTCGGCTTCGGCGCAGAAAGGGCACCACAGCTTGCCGTCGGGGTTGGTACCTGATACAAAGTATACGTACAGCGGGTACGTGGACTTGGCGGCCGCGTAAGTGTCAAAGTACATTGCGAGTCCTTGAACAGTACTGAGGTGCAGGACGGTCGGCGGGGACGCCCGCGGCGGCGTCAAAATTGCATGTAACATGGCTTCGTCGGACAGAAACGCACCGCCCGTCAAGAGCGTCGTCGTGTGGAGGTCGCCATCGTACCGCAGCAAGGCAGGGATCTCGTCGACACGAAAAAGCGGCCCCACGCGGAACGGGTTGGATGCATTGACCCAGTCTTCTCGAGACCCGACGCTGACAACTAAATGTCGTGCGCCAGTCGAGGCAAATGCCCGATCAAGGGGCTTTCTCGCTTGTTCGCAGTCAGAGCACCAGTATTCTCCAGACGCGAGCTTCCCGCTCACAACGAGCACAAAGTACGGGTCGCCCGAGGTGGTATTATAGAGCACGTCTTTGGCCTCCGTGTAGTCGAGTGCATCATGTTTGTTGGGTTGGTGAAACTTGGAGCGGCGGAATCGAAGGGTGTTGAGCATCGAGATGGTCGAGTCGTGGTGCAGTGACGACGAGATTTCAGACACAAAATACAAGCTTGACAGCAGGGCCAACGCCACCAGGACTTGAAGGCCGACAAGGGATGACCGCATACCGTCAAAGTGATGATGATTCGTCACTGTGGGGAAAAATACAAATGCTGCGTGACACTACTGCTACAGTAGTACCAGTACCCGCTTCTAAAATCGAACAACAAATTGGCCAAAAAACGAACGACGAGGACGATAGCGATTGTAGCAATGACAACATACAGTCGACAATGGAACGTTGCTTCGGTTTGGTCATGAAAACATTGAAGTCGAAAATATCGTTACGCAGACTATATGGGCTCTATCTATTGCACAGTAACGTTAGTTCATTGTACATACTTCATTGTGTGCTTGTGTATTACTTGTACTTACTACTACAGTAGTAGTGCATATAAAGGTACTACTTGTGTTGTTTTGCACCCATCGTACATTATGCTACCACATATGTTACACACCGACCAGGGCCTTTACAGTAGAGAATATTAACCGGATATGAGTCCTACCCTAACTTATTGTTAATCGTGCCTTCTGTTGGTACAGAGATTTCACGGTCCGGATATTCATCCGAACTGCGGGTCCTCTTCATCCGGATATCCCTTCTTTCCAGGTGTTGTAACGGTTTTTGAATTCGTCAGAAAGAATGACGGGACCCAGATTTCACCAGGCATTTGTAGTATACTGCATGTAGTATACTACTTCCCCTATTCCATAAAACTGGAGACATCATTTTTGGCCGATATTTAATATGCAAGTTTGTATTAGCAAATCTGAGTCATTTTTATTCAAAATTTGGTGAACACAACGTGAACGAGCACGATGTGCTGCGGGCGACATCATTGAGTACAAGTAGCTGACATGCAGATACATTAGAGAGGTTTTGGTGCAATTCCAGTCCCTATCCAGTGGGGCGCCCCACCATATGATGACAAAACCAGAGTCAACTTCTTAAATCTAGTTCTGGAACCTCCTTAAATGAATGTTTTGTCCACCGTGTGAGTTGACTCTGTGGAATTTTGGTTTTGTCCATACATCCCTCTGACCACCAACCATGTCGACGCCACCTAAGCGCCGCAACTTCACCGAAGAGGAAGAAATTACGCTTCTTCGCCAAGTCTCCGCCGACATGCCCTTCCTTGCCCGACGCGGACTCATCATGGACAAATGGGTGGCCATTGCGGAAACTCTAGCGGCAAACGAAGACTTTGGCAGCCCCGACTTCGACGCGAAGAAGGCCAACAATCGGTTTATCGCTCTCGCGGAGGCACACCGCAAGAGCAATCGCGTGTCGGCACGTGCTTCTGGCATTTCAGAAGACGTCGGGGAGAATGTGGCCCTGCTCGATGACATACTCTCAGCACACGATGACGCAAAGAAAGAAGAGTCACAGCGAATCGCAGATGCCAAGAAGACACAAGAGCACAACGACAACCTGGGCAGTGTTGTGCGTGAGGAGGCGATGCAGTCGCTGGGAAAGCGGAAGTATGATGTCGACGACGATGGTGCTTTTCGGGGTGGTGGCGGTAAGATGCTAAAAGTGATGACGATGATGCACGAGCAAGTTCAATCCGAACTTGAATTTCAACGCGAGAAGCATGAAAACGAAATCAAGGAACGTCAAAAGGATCGCGAGTTGCTTGCGCAAAAAATTTGGAACCAACAAGAGTCAATGCGTATTCAACAGGAGTCAATGGTAGCTTTGATAAAATTGCTAATGAACAAGTAGTAGATTTTTTTTGTTAAACTTCTACAA